TTAATTTTATCATATTGTGAATGTTCTTAATTTGAACATAAATGTCTCTTGTGAAGGGTGAGTGATTTAGACAAAATAAAATAAACTCGTCCTAGGGCCCTTTTTTTTTTTTCATTTATAAATATCTAGTTGGTTAGTGGGTAGGGGTTCAAGTAAAAAATAAAAAAAATAAATTAGAAACAGATAATTACAAACTTAATTATTCTACTTTGTATTAGTGTGTGTGATATATGCTTATAGAAGTTAGTGTTTTTATTTCTCAAGAAAGTTAGCATCTGAAAACGAGACCTTAATTATCAGCAGACAATTACTTGTCTATATGTAGCCAAGTTTCTATATGGTTTCCTATGCTATAGCATTGCTTTTGAATTTCCTCAATTTTGGAGGCCATGAGGAGTGAAAAAGAGGTCACCATGGTAACCAAAAATATTAAAATATCCTATGTTCGGAGTTAAGAGGTCTCTCATAAGTCATAAATGTCTTTAATTTTATGATTCTTGTTACCTAACAAGTGTGATATCCATACCTTGACATAAATACAATCTATAATAAACGAAACTAGTATTTTTCCCCTGTCTCAGAGGCACAATTAAGAACAGAAAAACCATTAATCTAATTAGAGTATTGAATGCAATCCAGAGAGAATCATGGAAGTTCCTATGCGTAAAAAATGGGAAAAGAAAGAGAAGAAAAAAAGGTGCTACGGTGGTGCTAGTGAATGTCTAGAATGTGGCATGGGGCAGCATGTGTCCTCGGAAAAATAGAGACCCAAGAACCACAAGACATGACAATGTTATAATATTAATTAACAGTTATGGCCTTATGGTTAGTAACACTTTCCTTTTTCTTTTGCATCAACCTCTCCTCTAAGGGCATAGAGGAAAGGAAAGAAAATAAAGGGTATGATATGAGAGCCAACAAAGAAGGCCCAAAGCTGTAAAAGGACAAGACAGCATGCAGAGAGAGATATGTACAAAACGAAGACTGTTATGGGAATAGATACATAAAATGAATAGAGAAAATGAGAGAGGCCCACAAAGGAATGATGAAAAAGTTTGAAACCTATACTTGAGAGGGAGATGAGGTGGGTGGCAAAAGTGGGTTTGGGGTCCATTCACAGTCCCATTTACATTCTTTTTGCAGAGAATAACAGTGTCCTTGCTTTGCACTCCTTAATATTAGTCTTTGACTTAACAGTTTTTCACCCTTCTCTTTCTATCTTGTGCTTGTCTCAGTCTGTTTTTAGTTTGCATTTATAATTATAATTACAACAATTTCTAATCAAAGTGGAGAACAGAATAATGAGGGTTTGAAGAAGAGTGAAGTGAGAGCATGTGACGCCTTTCCTCTAAGTCAAGAATGATCAGACTTAATTTAACTTAATGTTACTGTTAATACCCCTTTTGGAAAGTGCGTTACACTCGTCAAATTCAATCATGCACAACTTAGTTACTACCATTATATTATTAATTATGCCAAAATTTAGTTTCTCTGGGCATTCTTAACTGTTCCAATATATCCACCCATTTACCGTCTCTAAGGAATTTTACTTGTGAATGACCAAAGCTGTAAATAAATGTTATTATACACTATATTGTGTGACTAATAGATTATATATCATATCATTTATCTTAATTCCTCGTCAAATCCAATCCTTTGTGTGGTGTTAAGAAAGTTTGTTTATTAGAATTTTGGCTATTAACTAATAGGGGAGCTGTTATCCTCCCAGGCTGCAACCATTTGAAACATGTACCTTATTTTGGAATATCAGTAGTTCAACTATGTCTTTTAGGACACACCCTTTAAGAGTTCTAGTCTTTTCACTTAAGAGTGATCAGTGTTTGATTTAATCTATTTTCAAAGGCAATTTAGAACTTACGCAGAAGGTCTCATAAAAAAAAGATAAAGAACAATAATAGCTACAACTATGGATCAAATACATATAATTTAAATTTAAACAAGCCCAAATAAAATTCAAAACGATATAACTCTTTTGCTCAGAAGTTGTTATATACTATTTTTTTTTATATTCGATATTATTTACTATTTAGTGACTTATCGAAGAGTATACAAATAAAAGCACATGTGGGATTATTAAACAGAAGAAAATTTAGATTAGCATGAAAAATGAATGATAGACTCACAGCCATGCCTATGAACTTCCTTATCTACCAGGCCCACCACCAACCCTCCACGAAAGCAAATAAAAATGAAAATAAGAGAAACAAAAGTAAGGATCACATTGAAAGGGATAGAAATTAACGACATTCAACTTAAATAGAAATGTTTTGTGAACACAAAATTGTAACAACTAAAAAAGTTGTCCCTTTTTATTTTAGATTGTATTTTAAAATGTGTGTGTATAAAAGAAAATATTTAATATCATACACAATATTAATTTTTTATAATTAAATAGTGGAACTCTCCCTAACTAATAGAAGAAAACAAAGTAAAAGGAAATTACAAAAAAGTCAGATTTAATTTGCTATTAGGCGAGATATTTGTTGTATATCACGTAAAAATAAACCAAACTTTTCTTGAAGCATTAGAAAAAGTTAAGATGATAATTAAGAGAGATAGATGATAGATCCATGTGATCAAGAACTCATAGTGATGAGGAATTTAAACCCTTTGCTTTGGTTGTTGGTGAGGCTTTATGAGGGCCTTGGGTGAATTTAACTAAAGCAAGTTATGAAGAGAACTTAAGAGTGTAGGGTCCCATATATAATCATTACATGTCATGTTTTATCATATTCATACGGTGTTTGTTGCAAAAAAGATGCTTTAACACAAGATATGATCAGAGAGCACCGCCAGTTATTTGCGAGAATGAGAAGAGATGAATAGACAGGCAAATGATTTAGAGCTTCTAAAGTAATGAGACAAAGCATAATGGTAATGGAGCAAGAGTTTTTCTATCTAGGGGGGGGGGGGGGGGGGAGGGAGAGATTTGGGAAATTGCCCTCAATCTCTCAATGAAGTTAAAAAATTTATGTCATATTTTCAACTTTCCTTTTCATGTTGATATATTTGGTCAATAATGTCTATGCGAGGCCAGAGTTTGTAGGCCATTGGTTATATATATTATTCCTTTTTAAATAACATAACGAATTCTTCCTTAACTTCAGCTGCTTATTAACACTAGGACTTGGCTCTTGTGCATGCATGACACTCAACCTTGATCTAAATCCCAATGCATCTGCGCAAAATTTGGATTGATAATAGATATTAAAATGCAAAAATTGTGAGGGAGAAGGGGAAATGAATCACCCCTTCACGGAGATTCAGATTGCAACTGAGTTCAAGTGACCCTATTAAGACTATAATATAAATTGCTATATCTTTGAGAATTGACAAGGCTTGACTTCACCGCCCAAGCCACACTTTCTTAATTAATAACATAAATTTATTTATAAGCATATTTTCTAAAACATAATATCACAAAAAAGTTGAACAATTGGCACCAAAAGTTTACTTATCTTTTTCTCTTTTTGATTTCAATCTTGGTGTTTCAATCTTCCCTGAACATGTGTCAGAGGCAGCCATGCAATGCTGCAATATAAAGCAAAAGACCAAACTGTAGTGAAGTCCATCAAAGAATCCAACCTCTTAAGCAAAACTCAAAAAATGACATCATTTTGTTTTAGAAGATGGAACTCACTTTATACTCATTTTCTTAGTTGGATACTCGTCTAAAATTCTAGTCTGCATTTTTAATCATATGCTTCATCTGCTCTTTCTACTTTTTTCTAAGCTTTCAAAGATTATAATTACGATTGTTGATCATTTCTAGTGACATTGGAGGCCAACCAACATACCCGTGGCAGTGGGTGTCCTATGAATCATCACCTTTGTTTCTTTCTGGCCATTTCCTTCATCACTGTTTTGCTTTTTGTGGATTGGTTTTGACTTTTGACATTTCTCCCTCAACCATATGACAGACTCACTGACAGACACCTATGCTCATAAATTTAAAACATTGTCCCATAATTTTTTTTTCAAAATTTTCGATTATGAAATGAGGAATTAATAACTTTTAATTTTCATAAATATTATGCCTAGAAATTTCATTTGTGAATAGAAAAGAAAGCCACCTCTGCAGCCATGTTTGACTTATTTTATCTTTTGTATTTGTGAATCAAGCCATTGCTTTACAATTTTAATAGTAACACAGTGACACAGTAAGTTTCTTATATTATTTCAATTTAGCTTATTCATACAACTGCCATTACGTCAAATCGCATTATGTCGAACTTACGGCTAAGAGTCTAAGCAATCTTCTCCAATGTTATACTCGGAGACAATATATGCTAATTTGTACTGACGCATTAGTTTCTTAAGATGCACTTTTATCATCATTCCATATATTTCCTTTTTTTTATTTTTCCACCGCTCGTCCTTGTTTTTTTAGGACACTTTTCCACCTGTCTTCATTATCTTTATCATCTGTTGAATTTCCAAAATCAAAAGCATTTAAAATAAATAAACAGTAGTGCCCTTGGAATTTTCTGATACAACAATCTCTTGTTATTAAAGAGGTGTTTAGTATACTTTTCACTCCCAAGTATCTTCAATAAGCACAAACAACTGACATCTTCAAGTTGATAAAACTTTCAAAAAATGGATATCCCATTTTCTGGAATGTTCCATACTTGAAGCTGTGGAGATCGTACATAGACAGAGACCTTTGATGCTGGTGTTGTAATCAAATAGTGTTTGACAAGTAATTTACATGTTGAAAGTCCTAAATGCTTGACTATAGCGCCATGATATCTCAGAAATATGCTTTTGATACTTGTCCTTGAAAAGAGATTATTAATATTTTTAACCAATGAAATCAAAATGAACATGCAATTAGGCCGAGTCCCTATTAATACAGAAAGCAACGAGGAAAATCCAATGACCTTTCCAACTTTAAACATTATGACCACAAGAATGAAACGTACATGCCGATTTTCTTTTTCTAGTAAAATGCAATACAAATATTAATATTTCCCACGCAAGAAGATGAAATTCTAACCATTCCTGGAAGTATAAAGGTCACCAAAGGAACAATAGAAAACACCATTTTTCCAACCTTATACATGTCATATTCAGATTTGATATGTATACGGGATACCATACACGCTCCTTAACTTCGCCAAGAATTTAAATAAATGAGAACAGCAGAAACCATAAAGAACACATTGTCATTTTGTATTCACTAAGTCAATAATTTAATTAAAGAAAAACATGGCTGCAGTAGTATTATATATGTACCAAAATTTGGGCCAGTGAGTTTATGCCTATTCTGCTGCTTAGGATAACCTAGAGAAACTAGCTGGTAATCCACCATCTTCAACTAACTGCGCAAAAATTGCTATTTATCATGTCCAAGGATAAATCGCAAGAAATTGGCTGTTTCAAAAAAACAAAACTCACCTCAAAGTTAATTTGCAGAAGAACTCTTCAGTCTGAGTGATCATTAAAGCGAATAATTCTTCGGATGAAAGTTTTTTCCCGGCAATAGCTAAAAGACAATAGAAAAAAGATAAATTAACTGAAAAAAGGAAACAAGAAAAAACAACTGCATTCAGCACAAGATCTTAAAACTCTAAATAAATACAGGAAATAAGAATGTACATTGCATATGATGAGACACAGAAGCAACCCAGCCCAATGAAGAGATGGATTGTAAATGTTGGCCAGAAATCATCTCGGTCCAAAAACACATTCTCAGAAATGAGAGTGATTACACCTGAAAGTAACACAAAAATCCATCCTGAAGGCAAGCATCCGCTGAAAGAAAATGAGGAAGATCCCTGTGGACAAAAAGTATGAAAACTGGGGTCAGAATTAGTGCCAAATTTTAGTCAGTCCAAACAAAGCCAATAGCCATACCTGGAAGTAATTCTTTATGAATACAGCAGAGTATAAAATCCTCAAGGTCATATCTTTAGTTGAGTCAAGTAACCAAAGAAAGTTTTTCATCTCGATAAATAATGCAAATTAACTATGGAAATCAGAGGTTGAACTACTAGGGAACACAAAAAAATCTTGGATTAACATAGGGAACATCTGTAGAAATTTTAGTGTCTTATTGGTATGTCAATAATTCTTGAACTAATAATGACATTAGATTTTGCCTGCTTATAATGAAGTATCTGGGTTACAAGTTTAGGTGTAATATGCCGTTAATCTGAATTGTTCAGGCAAAATATATATCATCGAGAGGAGAATGCAATTAGCAGCCATTTGATTTAATGTGCCGATGTCTCCATTACCGAATGTAGAGATCATACAAATATGTGGTAATGGGAATTTTTCTCTTTAACTAGGCACAGAAGTTAGTTCTCAATGACCATAAGCAAGAGCTGGAAAGCCAGTGCTAATAACAGAATACACATATTCCTAGTCATTTGCTCATCACAGGTACAAAATCCCCACAATGCTGGTTCTTTTTTTTTGTTCCTTTATGTTTTTGGTATATATGAAGGGAAATGGTGATCAAGTTTTATTTACTATCAAGCTGCATGTAGATGCAAAATTTGAAAAAGATAAAAGGAATTCAATTCAGCATGTTCACACATATTTTAAAATAATAATTATGGTAGTAAAACACACAACTAACAAGGGATAGAATAATTCCTTTATTTGATTCTCCTTCAATTTTTTTTAATTTTTTAATTTTTTTAATTTTTTCTTTTTGGTGATCAAGAGCCTTCCTTTATATATTCCCCTCATTATCTCTTTCACATTTAAGATACGTTTGGATACACAGCTTATTTAATAAACTGTTTTAAATGATGACTTTTACCATAAATTCAGCAATGAAACTTCTCAGGATAACCTGGAAACATCTTGGTATAGTTTTAAACCTGGAAACTATTCCAAAAATAAGATGTTTCCAATGAAGTTATCCATAAATTCAGCAATGAAACTTCATTGCTGTTTCCAACCTGGAAACTTCATTGCTTTATTTTAAAAAACTTCTCAGGATATACCAAGATGTTTCCAATGAGTGATCCATAAACTATTCCAAACAGACCCTTTTGCATATGATGTGAGCTTTGTAATGACACATGACTTGGTGCTTGATTTACTTTTTGGTTAGTTAAAGCAGAGCTCACATCACAAGCAAGAGTCATTAATGGAGCCAACCTCACCTAGTGCTTTAAGACTTGTTGCTTCATTTGGTCGATTATAATAATTGAAATGTTTGAAATTCATGGCTTTTCATAAGGAAAAAATCAAAATGTGAAATAGCATGAATGAAACTACTCTAAGGGGTAGAAAGGATACTAATAGAATTTGCCATAATCAAGCCAACTGCCCCAGCTAACCTTATTAGAAGGACATTCAAAACTATATAGATCAATGAGAATACAAGTAGTGAATCATTTGAACGCTTGAGTTGGCTCTCTGTTGCAACTGCATGCATAAAGGCTTCAGAGGTTCCTGAAGAAGGGGAAGAAACATTATAATTGTGAGAATGAAAAATTCCATTCTTCGGGTGGCTACTAGTCATAAACAAAGAAAATATGTGACTCTAATGGCTCATAGCAAACTTTGCCAATATATCAGCATGTATTAGGAATTCAATTAAATCACATCTACAAGCAGCAATGTTTCGAATTGACTAACTACATGCATTTTGTTGTCTAATCAGTAATGGTCTTCTTTCAAGTGTATAACACATACAAGTAGGTTTCTCAGTTTACTCCACCCACAACCAAGTGAATGTATAATTGTATATATACAGTGCCCCTAACTCTGTTGGCCATTCATTGTTAATGATAGATAGATGGTACAAGCTTAATAATGCTCACATTTTTAACACCTAGTCTTCTGGTATTACTTAGCTAATAAATCTGGTATTTCATTTACTAATTCCTACTACATTCAGAAAATAGAGCCCCATGAGCCAATGTGCCTAAAGAAAAAAAAATATTATATGAAGAATAATAAACGTGAGATGTTATGGTCATAAGTCATAACCTGCAAACAATCAGTGTACTTAAGGAATTAAAAATGAGCAAGAAGAGAAAAGGTGAATTACCATTCATAGCCAAAACAATGACATAAAAGCAATAATAGCGGAGGGCAATTGATGCTTCTCCATCACTCCATTTTTCACCATACAGCAATCTAATGAGAGAATAAGAATAACTTGGACCAAATGCCATAAAAACAAGGCCTGCAAAACATGTAGCAGGATATGATACCACAAAAGGAACAATAAAATATGCAATTTAAGGCAAAACAAATCCAAATCTCTTCTCAGGAGGAAAAAGATAAAGCTATTTACACAACTTTTATAGCCACAACTCTATACAACTGCATAATAAGCATCCTCATAAGGGATCGTTAAATATTATTGTCTGTATCAATTATATGTCCACAAATATCTTTGGCCAAGCAGACCACATTTTCTTCAGTTTCTCATAAAAAGGCCTTTCATTATGGCATGCAGTATTGGCCCTAAGTAACTGAGGTCAAGCTGGAAAAAAATCATTCGTATAGTAGTTATATCCTTCTTTTATTTCCTGTTTATTTTTCCAAGGGGAAGGGTCAACAAAAAGAATCATAAGGTTGGTACATGGATCAAACAAAACGATAATCTTCTATTGTGAATCATGTTCATAGACAACCATTGACATCTAAATCCTTAAATCTTAAATCATAACGGTTTCACCTATAGTTTTTCTTGGTCTCCTACAGATCTACCTCTAGTGATAGACCCCTCTATCTGATCTACTCTTTGTCCTCAGGCACATGCCTAAATGTGTGATTCTACCATTTTTTCTACAATAGGTGCCACCAAGGGAAAGGGTAATAGTCTTATAAATTGTTAGATTCAAACTTTCTCTGTCATTCTTTTTTCTTCTCACAAAAGAAATTCAGAAAAGGAAAAATAGAAATACATAGGCTTAAGTTTTCCTATTTCAACAGAAGAGAAAAGAATAGTTTCAATACAGCATTATGAAGCAAACTGAATATTAGGCAACATAGCATCTCATATGGGTTATACAGTAATTTATATTGTCGAGATACAATTCAAGTCAACTATTCTGAGGAAGACTCAAAATCAAAATATCTTATTTTCTTTTAAACGCTTTTGACTTAAGACATCTTTGTAAAACCACTGAACATACATAGTAAGATACACATAAATTTGCATCTTTCTTCAACTAAGGACCAGAAATAACATCTTGTAATTGTGACTGAATAATAGGAAAATGAAGAAATATGTATCCACGACAAAGTATGAAATTAAATTAAATGATATACCTATCAACAAAACTAATTTCAGGGACTCTGTCAAGCACTTCCCTAGTTTCCTGATTTTTTCTGAATTTTGTCCTGCCAGGAATGACCAAAACATATTTCAGTCTGTGAAATTGAAAACAATTTTACGATGGCTGTATGCTCAACCAAAAATAGTAAACTTCATGATTAAATATGACAGGCGCTCAACATAGTATAATTAGAACAGAGAGTTAAAAAATGTCTAGATAAAATATTCTTAACATAGTCACGAAATCATGACTGTGACCTTAATGCCTGTGATATAAAGAATGTCATACGTATGGAAGTAACTATATTTCCCATAATGTAATATAAGCTATATAATATTAGCATTTACTGAACCCTGTCCACTTTATTGTTTCATTAATAAATTTTGAATTGCAAACACAACAACCAAGTAAATGAAATAGAGAGAAATGAGAGACAAATGAAGAACTGCATGCCAAAAGCAACATTAAATATAGAGAAGAAAAAGTAAAGTAGAAGCAAATAATAGTTAAAAAATACTAGAAATTAGGGTTTTCTGGTCCAAACATCAAGCAAAGAAGAGAGAAATAGAACCTGAAGCAGACCTTGCAAATGTTGCATATGAACTTTCTTCAAAAGGTAAAAAGACAAGTCTCACCACTAAGCTACCTGAAAGATGGGGAGACAAAAACATTTATCATGTTTCTTAATAAAAATAAGAAACGCTCTTAATGCAATCAAATTTAAAATATAATAATTAAGCTTTCTACCACAAATTATCCAAAGCAAATACCAACCTAATTTGTCCACAAGGCCATATACAGCTTGATTATATGGTGTATCCATCCATACAAGTACTATCTTTTCTCCTTCCTGAAGGATTAACTTTCGAAAGGATTGAAAGGTAAACAGTATACACATCTTGGACAGCTGCTGGTCAAAATCAAACACTTTTCCTTGTCTGCAAAAATTTGTTACATATAAATCATACATCAGTGATATAAACAAGCAGAGAACAAATGAATGTTATCCAGTTTCCGCTTTTCTTGCAAAGCGTACTTAATATATCATGTATTACATTAAGAGAAATCCTAGGATCTTAATGTGTAAAACAAAACAAGATCTGTTAAAGAAGAGCATTATCTTTGCCACAACAAAATAGAGGCAATGTTTTAACCAAGTGCTCAGCAGAAAATGACAAGAGAAATAGACATGATAATGAACATGGTCCAACCTAAAGCAAACTAGAGGCAACGCATCCACAGGAGAAATGCAAAGAAATTCTCTATGATCAATAAATAGTACAAGGGGTAGAATCAAGCAAACATGATCCCTCCACAATGATCTCAGAAGATCAAACCAATCATATTTCTAAATCTAAGCAAGCCTGTCAGAACACTGCTTTGAGCAGAAAATTAATTCCCATGAAGATAACTAGAGTAATGGCAGTATAATTCTTAAGATCCGCAATCTTTTCCATTAAGTGACACTATATAGTTTTAGATTCATGGACAGTCAGTATTTTTAATTTTTCTTTATCTTCTTTTCAAAGAGAAAATGATAAAAGTAACAGGTTCCAACCATGTCGAGATATTTTTGACAAAAAATAAAATAACTATACCTGAAGGGGAAAAGGTAAGAACGCCTAAACTTTTGGAAAAGAACAAGATAGCTCCAGTAACCAAGAAATAAGCAGGCTCCATATGCAGACTGTGACAATGCAAATATGATTGGTTTTTCCTGAAAATGATCATTAAACTCTGAATCAGCTGCATTTACATGGAGACATCTGTTTGAGATATAAAACATTTCTGGATCTCCACCCAATAGCTGATGTTTATAGGAGAGTTGATCCATGACAGCATCTTCATTTCAGTCCATCAAACTCTATTGTCAAGCATCTAGGTAGTAAGAACATTAAAATTCAATGCACTTTGCACAAATAAGTTCTTCAAACTTGTGAAATAATGTGGCAAACTTCCTAAAATTAATGAAATAAATAGGTTGAAACAAGCCACACTACAGCATACCATCCATTATACCAGAGTGAAGCACTTGAAAGTTCATTTGTATCTTTTGCTTGGGCATTTTGACAATAAACAGAGAAAGAGCATCAATTCTAGGGTTTCAACAACTTCAATATTTAAAAAAAAAAAAAAAAAAAAAAAAACTATTTTTATCACATTAATATCATCAGCAAAGATTCAAATTTTAAACTTTAAAATAGCCCTAACATTAGAAATTTTAGAAATGAAGAATATGTTTATTTCCACATTGATTTATATTTTTATTTTAGTCATTTTCTTGATTTTCTATGACTTTTACACTTTTACTTTCTGTGATTGCTGTTGGTCATCTGAATGGCCTTCAATTCATCAAGAATGTAGTTAGCAAGAAGAATACAATACTTGGTCTGATGATCCAGTGTTCTAATATTTCTGAAAAATGTTAGTAGGGAAAAAAAACACAATCAACACAATTTGCTCAGACAACAGTAACTAGCAAAATAGAAATCAATTCAAGAATCAACCTGTCATTAGCATGTTACAAGAATAATAGAAAAACCATTCTTTCTGCTTAACGATAAGGAAAGTAAAGATCAAAATCATTGGCCATCTTACAATTCCAGTTTGCTTGACAATCAAGAAATAAATTGTCAAGCACCGTAAAAAAGTAGCTACTGTCTCAACCATCAGCCGTAATTCAAGCAAGACCAAGTTCTGTGAAAGAATATACAAAGGCTCAGCCAAGAGCTCCAAAATGCATGCAACACCTGGCATAACAATTGAACTTCATTGATAAAATTTTAAAAATTATGTCAAGTGATGTTTTGAAGAGTTGCTCAAGGATGTTTGGTTCCATATGTTTTGAAGGGAGATAAGATTATGGAAAATACCATTGATAACCCATGAACAAAAAACAAGTATATAGATGACAAAAGGCTATATTAGATTACCATTGATCAAGAAAGCTTTCCCAATTGGACTAAAATAGCTTATTTCTTGCCACCAGAAGATAAAAAGGCAAGCTACAATTGTAATAAATATTCCAAGTGGGAGACTCATCCACACTACTTTCATTAGCTTCACTACATCTTCTTTCTCTGAATTGCCATCACTACGTTAAATAAAAAATATATATATTACAAATGGAGCTCACTCAAGAGTATAGGAAAATAGAATTATAAAAATAAATTAATAAAAGATATAAATCCTTGATTCACATTATTTAAGTTACAATATTTTTAAAATGAATAATATTATGAACTACCAAAGAATTAGGAGACTCAATTCAACATTTTACTAGCTTTTTCAACCAAACTGAAAACAGATTCTTTTATATAATTCAAGAAAAATAAAAAGTATGGATGGACAAATATTATCCAGGAAAAGAGATATTTTGAAAAAATTAATGAAGTTCATTTTTCAAAAACATCAAAAAAGGGGAAATGGAGTTTTTTGAACATGCACTATATCTGGACAGTAACACAGTTTATCCAAAGCATCTTAAAACAATCAGCACTCACCTATGATGCCATAGCTTTAAACCTAACACAAAATTCATATTCTTTTGAAGCATGTTGGAAATAAGTAGCCCATAAACATACACCATACAAGCACAATCAAAGGGAATTAAAAGAACTAATAAACCCCTCATCACCAAGCATGGAAGAATCCCAATCACTGAGGAGGAGTTGAGCAAGGAAACTAAATTAAACCAAACTAACTCAATGATAGGAACTCTGAGAATTAAGATGGAAACAAGATAGAAAGAATCAAAAGAGCAGAGTAGAACTGTATTATTGAAACATAGAACAGAATATATAGAGCAGAATGCTCCCCAAGGGTTTCCCCTTCACAAAGGATCTCTCCTTTCACTCACAAACTTGTCAACTATGCCAAATGCCCTCTCCCCAATTTGATTTCCCCTTTTATCTAACCAAAATTAACAAGTCTAACTAATGGACTGACTGACTTTTATATCCTAACACCTGACAAGAAATGCAGATAAAAAATTATTAAACATATACATTACATAATAGAATTAGCAAAGCATAAGGGATCACCATTTCATGTCCATCCGCAAGCATGCTCGTCGAAAGCCCTCCCGGCTAAGAAATAAAACACATGTGACAAACAGATGAAACTGCACTGCATACAGCTGCATTAAAGAAAGATGACATGATGGTATATCAATTTTATCATAAAGCTTATTATGCAACTTAGAATGACAAAAAACCACAAACATATGCCAAAAATGAAAGCCAAATAAAGAAATGTAGAAATAATGCAGGAGACAAAAATGTAAATCAATTCCAAGTACATGACAATGACAGCACAAGTGAAAAACACAGCTTTTAAGTTTGAAGTTACAATTATGCACACACAAGATAGAAACGGCGATAGCAATTATTCAGAGTTTGGAAAAAACAGTTACCGCATAGTCCTCTTCTGTAAGATGCCTTACAATCCATGTATTGAATATAAATGGGATTCCTCTTGACAAGAACTGAGTAGCTGGATTCAAAGGAAAGGGGAAATATCAAATCAGATAACTCAAATTGCAGGATACAAAGCTTTCATAGTGATAATACAAAATAAATAAACTTCAATTCAAGGCCAGCATAACTGATTTTTTAATCACATTTCTAACATATTTTAAATGTAAACTAGTAAGATAATTTTATTTGCTCTAAAAAACCTGAAAATGATATGCTGACCTAATAGATATTTGAAGGTGCGTGACAGATTGGTAGCGTCTTTATCCTTCGACATTGCAACTGGAAATGAAGTACGGATGGGTCTTTTAAGTTATCTATTGCAAACTGCGGAAAAGAAAGCGATTCTTCGATCAATTACTCAGATACGTTATAATTGAGATTTGGCAATGTATTTGTATACGGCTTCCGGCACCGGCCTCAGAGAGAAACTGAACGTAACAAGGTCAAATATCTAGCTGCTTCGGTTTGCTTTCCGACGGTGATAGTTCGTTCGCCGGACGGCGGAGGTTGGAGAACCGACTCCGTCAAATTGCAGCGAGGGCGAGGGCGCGAATATATAGGATTCCGGAAGTCGGAAGCATTTGATTCTGGATTAAAATTAAAGGAATTATATAAACTCCTCAAGGTTTTGAAATATTTCTTCAAACGGCCTCATATATAGTCGGATGCACGATGTTTGTTGAAGTTAGAAAGACACCGTGAGTGGATTGATATCGATTGAGATTTTAATTTTATATTTTTTTTAGTTTTCTTTTTCAAATTTAAGACTTAAGTTTTGGTAATGATGTGTAATAATTAAGATATTGATGGTACCAAAAATTTTAATAGAACAATAAAGACGTATTAGATTCATTTTTATTGATAAATTGCTAAGAAAGAAAAATATTTAATGCTATTATACCTCTTAATTAAGAATAAAAATAGATTAAGTTGGAGCTAAATTTTTTAAAGATTTAATTAATTAAATAAATGAGACTTAAGTTTAAAAAAAAAATATGTATTAGGCCTCTTTGAATAACTTATTTAAAATTTATAAAATTTATAATATATTAAATAATTTTATATAAAAATATAATATAATATTATATTAAATAAATAAATTTTTAAAATAAATAAAATCTTAAATTAGAAACGTATTTTTTTGTTTTGAATTAAAAAGTGTTTCTACTATATATTTTTTTAACTTAGTTTATTAAAGTCTTTTGCATTATTTGACTTACTTTATATGCGTAACACTTATTTAAATTTATGTTGTTTTGATTAAGTCTATTGTTAATTTGTCTCATTTATCATTTTCTTACAAACTTGTTTATATTAAAAGTTCTTTTTTGTTATTTTTTTTTATTTTTAGGCTAATAAAATATCTTTTTTAATTGAGAGTAATAAAATAATTTTATTTACTTTATTAGCCTTACACATGTAAATGATTAATCATCATTGAATTTAATTAATAACATATTTATAAAGACGATCAATGACTTGAATGTCTTAATACAAAATAAATCATTAAAAAAGTTAATGAACTAAATTAGACTTTTAAAAAAGATAATGTAATGACTCTATTATTCACTACCAAAATACAACTGAATTAAAATGAAAATTATGTTAACAAAACTTTGATTTGTATATATTATTATAAGTGTAACCAAATAAAAATAATTTATAATTGAAACAAATCAACAATAGGACAATTCAATTTAATTATTCTAGAAAATGCTTAATAATCAAGGTCAGCAACCTATCACATAAAAGGTAGGAAAAGAACAAGTTAGAATTTCGTCCGATAATCAGAAGAAGAGAATCACCATAAAAAAGGCTTACCACACGCATAACCTTCTCAATGAGCATAGCCGTCTGATAAAACGTTCTTATGCTTTGCTCTCGTGCTTTTTCCTTGTGACCTCTTCTTCTGAATCCTTAGCCACATCACCTTCAAACATAACTAACTTTCCTACATTTTGCTGCTGAGCTGGGAAGGTTTGGTTTGGGCCTTAATTTGGGTTGCATGTTGCAGTCAGGTTAAGCTTAATAAAGCCTATAATAAATAATCTATTAGACTTAAGTTTCAAAATAATTAAATAAGCCAAAACTATTTAGCAAAACATAACATAACCTAATCTATTTCTATCCATATTTTGTACGTGTAAATACACCCTATTACACAAGTCTGCGTCATTCGTGTTTGAGAGCTTCCCGAACTGAAACATGTCGCAGCTAGCTTTCCAATTCCATCTTGTGCAGGTTAATATTAAATCCCATCTTACATTATAATATTTTCTTATCTTATAAAACAAAATATTTTTATGCTTTTTTTTCACTCTCCCAACTAGTAGGAGTGAGTAGAAATAGTATACCTGCACATAACCGATAAGATCGAACAGTAGAAAAAGTAACAAAAACAAGTTATATTCACAGTGGTTTTAGATGGGTAAATTTATCAAGCTATTCGGTAAAATTTGGGTGGCTACAGGTGTAAAAATTTGAAATTGTCGATACCCGAATTCAACCGAGGGAAAAATATTTGCATATGAACTTATTATGTATATAATTTAGAACCACCATGATTCCCCCAAATATAAAAAAGGATAACTTCGTAAATTAGTTTGAGGTAATTAAGATTAATGTTCACAGGTATTTGGGTCATAAAAAATAATTTCTTCTTTTTTCTTTTGATCCAAGCAAATTCCAGTAAACTATGACAAATGGCAATAACAAGTAGTTCAAAATTCATAAGTTTCCCAATATAGATACGTAGGCACTATTTGTTAGCTTTCACTACCACTATTTGCATTCGATTGATTCACATTTTTTACCCTATTCTACTTTGATTCTAAATCCACCTTCTTTAGAAACCCAATCTTCATAGTCTCACCTTCAGCCTTATAGTTCCTTCAAAAATCTATAATTGGGCCATGACTTCAACTTCCTCTGCTGGTGGGTTCGGGTCGTACGCAATGGTGAAGTGGGCGTCACCGATGGATATAGCTTCATTTTTTAATGGCAGGACTAACAAAATCTGGTTTTCCAAATATTTTTGTTATAATCCGTATCAATCTCCCCACCTCACTTCAAATTCAATCAACCTGACAATCCATTCAGACTAAATTGGTATATAATTTTATGAGTTACCACTGTTCTTTTTTGCGCAAACCCGTCCAAAACCAATCGATGTCCAGTCCTACCAACTAGTTAAATCTTATAAGATTTTATATTAACCCTCTCCATGTATTTTATATCCATCCTCTGTTTTTTATGCAGAATATTTTATAAGATTGTATCATATCATTTTTTCTTTGATTAATTATTCAATCAAAGAAAAATTTCAATTTCTTTAATTATTTTAATAAATATTTATATCTCTTCGATCAACATGAAGTATAAGAAAATATAAAGAAATCATAATTAAAACAAAATTTCATTAATTAAACCATTTTTTAAAATTACAAGTTTCAAAATTATGTACTTTCTATTTTTATTTATTTTGGTCAAATGTACTTTCTATTTTAGTTTAGGTTTTTTAACGATAGTTTGACTTTATTCGAATGTTATGTTGAATCTTTAGTCTAGCAGCTTGTGAATTCTATGTTTGGTTATTCTCTACGCCCAAAAAGAAATCTATGGAAAATATAAGCAATGGCAGCCCCAACCCAAGCATCCCAGAAGGAACTACCGTTGAATATGTTGGACCTTAGAACTCTTCCAGCTGCAATGCGTAGGACGTTCAAGTGTTGAACATCGGGCTCGAATTGGAAGACTTCCACTCCACAGTTAGTCTGGATATTCATCCATAATAATATTAATAATAACCACCACCACCACCTTCGTAATAACCATGGTAATCCTCATCATCATTTATGAAATAACCAAGATTATACATGAGGAGGAAAAGACAGAGATGACGAACGCAACAGAACAGAACAAAAAACAAATAAATAAATGGGGGGGGGGGGGGGGGGTGTTACAAAACAAAAATGCAGGAAGGCCAACTCTACAAATTTATAGCGCATGTACAGGCAACATATATTGTTTACCATTTTTGTAGGCTGTTGGATTAACTCAGTGTTGGATCCAGTAACCAACAAGGCGTTGTACTGGTGGGTTAATATGCAGGGTACAGTAATACCATGCAGGAATGTTTAGTATGTACAGTTGCTAGATACCAATAAGTTTTACCCTCGACACCCTGCCACAATGTTACTTTCCACGCCAAGTATCCACTCACAAATGATAGTATTCACTCGTTCTGGCACCTCATCGTGCGGACAATGGCCTGCAATGTCGAGGGGGGAAAATGGGTCAATTTGAAACAAAGCCTAAGGCACCTTATTATATAGAAGTACAAACATAAAAAACTCTAGCTACCGGCATCTAACTCCTTAATAATAACCCCATCACAGTGTTCTTTAAGCATGGCCACCTTGGAATTGGAGTCAGAAATTGGATCTTTCATCCCCTGACAAAAAAGAAATCAGTAACAATATATGAGTATCAGAGTACTCAGATATAATTCTTTCTTTTTTTCTCTCCATAATAGTTCATATCAACGTTATAATACCTGTATAATTAGAACCTTTTCCTTGACATCTTCAAGAAGATAGTTAAGAGGTATGGAAAGATTAAAGCTAAAGATGCTTTCCATGACCACGACCACACCAGGATCATATGACTTAAATATGTCAAGGAGGGGCAAAAAAAGAATTATATGTATATCTGAATGCAAAACCTGATGCAGTACAAATAATGTGGATTCTAGAAGTAGAGGATACTGCTCTTAACATTTCATTTATGAGCCAATCATCTGCTCTTTCAACCCTCTGCAAAGCAAACAGAATCAGGCACCATCGGCACAAACGTACCTATGAGATTTGAAAATCAGCGACAAATATTACACTTACAGTTGGATAACATTTTCTGACTATTTCTTGAGTTCTTAGCCTCAAGTAGAATAGAAGAATACGAGAACCCAACCAAGAAGCACCTGAAGGTTGTCTATCTTGAATCTTTTGAAGTACACAAAAACGCAATTTAGATTAGAAGAAACTAATCATGCTGTACTTCTAATAAAACAATGCCAAATTGTAGCAAGAAATTAAAAAAAATCCCAACTTCAAGATCCATTTACCATTATATTATGCACCTTTGGATGCTTCTCTCTATTCAAGAAAACTACAAAGGCATGATACATTTCGGTTGAAGACTAGGATTTTAAAATCTAGGGATCGAATTTCCATGCCAGGGGATAAACAAATTATACATTATTAAAAACTTAACAGTCCTAATAAGCAGATGCCACACATCAATGGAATCAAGAAGCAAATTTCAGCTCTTCGGGCAAGCCAAAAAGAAAACATCTTGCAAGTGTTGTATGCACTTCAGTTGTTCTCAGTTACACTTACTGTAGACAATGGTATTGATGAGTATCTTGGGATGACATTGCCAGCACTGTTGATCAAGACAATGGATTTGATCAAAACACTCCAAATACATGCAACAATAGCAACAAAATAACCTGGAGGGAAAAATAATTATTTGATTAACTCATCAACAAGAGCAACAATAAACAGGCAATACACACACACAGGAACCAAGTTAGTGTGCTTATGTGTGAAAAGGACAGAGTTTTTTTTGTGTGTGGCAAGGTACCCAATTTTGTTTAAATCGTACCACCAATTGAGTTGCCAACAAGGTGGACTGGTTCACGGACAACATCGACAATAAAATCTCTCAATAATTCAGCCCACAAGAGTTCAGTATATAGAATATTTGGCTTTTCTGATTTGCCGAATCCTAAAATAGTGATAGCCCAAACTCGATTTCCAGCTTCAGCTAAACCATGTATATTGTCACGGAAATGCTCCAAGAAGGCACCAAAACCATGCACAAGAAGAACAGCAGGACCATCTTCACCAGCAACTGTATACTGAGAAAAACAATTTAAACAAGAACTTAGCAGCGAATTTATAAATATTTTACTTAAGTTATACTAAGTATTTCAGGTTCTTAACTCATTTCACTGAGAAAAGAAAATTGAATGGGCTTTTGAAAAGGGGACTTAATGGGCAATCAAACAATGCCATGAGCCAATCGATTGAGTACCTGGATAAGAAATCCATTCCATTTCCATATCCGTGTTGAGTGTATTCCATCATTAGTTATCTGACTTCTCAAAGCCAGAAGCCAATACCACTATGACACCAAAAGAATATACAAATCAATCATCTGATAGAAAAAGAAAAGAAAAAGGTCGAGGCACGAACCCTGTTATTACAGATAAGACAGCTAAATCACTGAGGCACATTAAATTTGTACTCTAACATAGCATAACACTTATAACTAGCACCTCCATTGAGCACACAGCGTCAACTGCTGCTGCAATTGTGGCAGCTGAATATCCAAAGGGAGATAAAAATCCTGCATTTCGTTCTTTTTCATATTTGGTAGCTTCATAATGTATTCTTCTTGTAGATATAATGCCAAGCGATAGGGCAGGACCGAATAGTCCAATAAATGATGCTCCATTCCGACTCTCGAAAACACGCACTTTTTCATGTACCCTGCATAAATTTAAGATGAAGGAACATTTCATGACATATAATTATTTTTATTTTATGACTTCAATAGCAACATTTTAGATACTTAGCAAATAAAACAAAGACTAAACACGTATTAGCACAGGCAATGCACAACACTTTTTAGCCCTTCTTACTGTACAGAGAAACAGAAAGCAATAAAAGAATGAAGGAAAGTTTACAAACAGAACCAAAAAAAAACCAAAAAAGGGAAATATTATACAATGATGCTTTTTATAATTGAGTTTTTTTCCTTTTTCCTTAAAATGAATATAGTAAATCGAAACCAACTATAAAAACTACTCAGCCTCCAGACTCTTCAAGAATTTACCAAAATAAAAAAAAAAAAAAAACAAGAAGTTCAAAAAGCAAGTTGTCACTACATACTCTTGCCAGTCATCACGAGCTGTTCCCTCCAAATATCTCAGATATGCAGCCAATGCATTCAGTACATTGTCTGTTCCACCTCCTACAACATTTCCTTTTTGTGTCACAAAAACAGATCCATTGGGTTCCCTTGACTGCATTTGTCTAGAGCTATATCCATTGGGTTCCCTTAACTGCATTTGTCTAAAGCTATAACTTTCACTGCTCTCGCCAGGCTTCAAAATTCCCCCGTGTAAAAAGGTTTCAGCCGAAGCCTCCTTAATTAAACTCCAATTCTCACCCAATTTCCGTTGGTAGCTAGTCATAAATTCCTTTATATCCTCATACGTGGGAAGAGCACCTAATTCAATTAACAATTATTACGTAACTTTTAGCAACATTATAGAGTACATGCAATTAAATTGATTATGAAAAGAAAAAGTCGCATATCCAATAATCTTCCAAAAAAGGACAACAAACAAAAAGAAGCATCCTGATAAGCAAAGCCATTCACCGTGGAACTCACCCCAATCCAATTCCATGTCTGCTCCACGTAACGTTGTCACCGAAATCTGAACTGGAGTAGTAACAGAGAGCCGAAGTTTCTTAAAGTCATTATATGATGCAGGAAGGTTTTGCAGATCCTATTTAACAATAATAGTAAACAGTAATAATAACACAATCAAAGATACATGACCGAATTACTCAAAAACCAAACACGAGTTCAACATTTTATATAATAAACTAAACCAAGCCAAATGAGCGTAGGAAACACAATTAGTCACTAATAACCTACCACCTATGACCTACCTTCACATCATAAAACGGAGTTCGCCATAATTCAATCCTTGGAGTCCCTTGTGGAACTGTGACCAATTTTAAACGCTGTTTCACCTCATCCATTATTACGCGGAGTTCATACTCCACCTCATGCTCAGCAAAGACACAAGTGGCTTTAATCTGTTCCGTTCTGAGCGATGAATTCATTTAACAAAAGGAACGGCATGAATGGATTGTAAATTAAGCAATGCAATGTAAATGCTAACTAACTAACTAACTAACAATGTAACAACCTCTGTTGCAAGTTGTAGAATCACGTTCTCAGCATTGCCAAACCTGATCATTAGATCAGAACCGCGATCCTTCAACGATTTCCTCAAATCTCCCACGGCGAACAGAACTAGTTCCAGCGTTTCGTCGGAAAAACCTGCAACGCAATCGCCGTCGTCGTAAGATTGGATTGCGATCTTGAGTTTACTAACACGAGTGGCAGTGAGTTAAAATTAGTTACTGACGGGAAAGAACACGGTGATCGAAGACGTAAATAGGAACCAGCGAAGGAAAAGTGGAGGCTGCAAGGAGTCCAGGGTGATCGTCCGTTCGGAGGTCGTGCTTGAACCACAGAATGGCGGTTCCAGATGCCGTCATTGAGCAGTGGCGCCGAGTTGAAGGGAAGGAGCGGGTGTTTGGGAAGGAAGAAAGTGAGCGAAAATGGGAAGGAAAGCGAGGGAAAGTGAGGAGAGTCATGAGGCAAAGCAGAAGAATCAGAAGATGCGAGCTGCAGGGTTGAGTGACTGCATTAATTAATTAAATAATCTGTTTTTTCAATTTAGAACAAACGAAAAAAGAGATGTGTGTGTACACTCTTTATTCAAAATTCGAGGCTACGAATTTTCGGTGAATAAAATTGTGGCGGACAAATATGGATGGAAAATTTGTTAACCAGAAGTTCAAAAGGGCCCTTGCCAGTTGCCACTCTACTTGTACGGAATTTTCTTTTACAAGGCAGGCAATGGGATGGAATAATAAATCTCAAGCATAGCCTCAAAGTTTTCAACCAATCATTACTTTGTTCTGTAGTTTCGTGGGGCCTGCAATTTTATCATTTCTAAATTAAAAATTAAAATAAGTAAAAATTGGCTTTTGTTTACTTAAATAATACTATTTAAAACAAATTTTTAAATTAATATATTTTAAAAATTAATTCTTTCTCAAATCCTTTTTTATACAAATTTTCTTTCTATGAACTAAATTTTCAGTGTTTAAGTAAAGAAAATAACAAAAGTTTATGTAAAATTTAAGTAAATTTTAAATTTGATTTAAGAATTTTGTATTTCCTTCCCAAACTTTTGTTGTCCCTTCTCATATGTTTCAGACTTCTACTATAACTTTTATATTTAACTCTATCCTTTTTTTATACAATCTCTTCAACTCTTTCTTCTCCACCTCTCACTTCATACTTAATTCTTCTCTTTCTCTTTCCACCCTAACTTTGAATTCAGATTTTCTCCATTTGTGGTGAGAACAGAATATCTAGTTCCATTTTAACTTAAGCGAAAAAGCAAAAATAAACAAACTCCTTTAAACAAAAATGTAAAAAACGATAATTTTATTTTTTAAATAAAGTTAGCTTAAGCGAATTTTTTTGTCTTAAGTGAATTTTGTGCATTTGAAGATATGGAGGCTGAGTATGAAAAAAAAAAGGGCTGAGAATAAATGGAGATAAAGAGAGCAGGTGGTATAAAAATGATGGTGAAAGAAGAGAAGGGTGAAGAGTTGGATATAGAAGAAAGAGAGAGAGAGATATATGTATGAGGTAGGGTGAGAGTGAGAAGAGGAAGAAAGGAGTTATGGATGGAGTGAAAGGAAGAGAAAAGTGGGGTATGAGAAAAGGAAAAAGGTTGAATATGGAGGTTAAAGAGGGTTGAATATGGAAATTGAGGAGGGAGTGTTAGACATGAAGAGAAGGAAAAGAGAAGATTGAGAGAGAAGATGCAAAATTAGTTTAAGCAAATCTGCAAAAATTCGCTTAAGCTAGCAAAATTCGCTTAAGTTAATTTTGCATAAATTTTTTTTTGTCATTTTTTGCATTGTTTCTACCATAATTGGAGAGAATTTGAATCCCCCTAACTCCCTCTTCTATCTTCTTTTCATATCCAATTCATTCACCCTTATATTATTGGCTCTCTCCATTCCTAGCCCATCCTTATCCCCATCTACCTCCCACATGCAACCCCTCTTTGAAGTACACACATGTTTTGTTATTATTTTTTTTTATTTTTTTTAAGCGAGTCTATTTTTGCTCAGTGATTAATTGAGAAGGCTTGTTCACAGATACCAAAGGTTAATGAAAACATGAATTATTTGTATTCTTTTTTTTATTTATAATATTTATTTAGTAATTTAAATAAGAATTGAGTTAAAAAAAACTACTTATTTTAGTTGTTAAATATAAAATTTTAGTATATGTTACTTGTTAGTACATAAAATCTGAATGTTAGATTTAATTTGAATAATTAATTATAGTCAAATTAATGAAATTTTTATTTATCCAAAAAAATATAATTTTATTTTTGTTAAAGATTAATTAATAGTGAATTAAAATTATAAAAAATAAACTAAAATTAAATAAATGTAATTAGATTATTAACATAAAGGTACACTATAAGAATATCTTGAGATTCAATAAATTTGAAATATAAAGTGTATTAAAAGGGAAAACTTTGGAAACTATGTTGCACTGAGTAAGAGTTGATCTTCTTATACTAGGTTTTTAGTGTATGTTTTAAGTTATACAATGCTTCATATGTTTCTTCCTCCAACATATTATTTAGATGAACTTTGTTAATTTTTAATATTTTCAAAAAATAAATTATTAAAATAATATACTTTTAAACAATTTTCCTTGTTTTGAGTTTTTTTTGTCACATTACCATTATTTTTGCACCTTGTAGGTACACATTTTTTTTCTTTTTTTTTAAAGAGTTTCACACGTTAGAGAAATAAAACTTTTTGGTTTAAAGGAATTTCGTAGGGTGGCTCGTAGCTTGTAAAATGTGCAAAGTGTGGGATGGCTTGTAGGCCCATAACATATGGACAAATCTAAATATTATGTTAGATGATGTTATGTGTATATGAAGATCAAACTTAGTTATTGTTAAATTTTATCTTATTGTTTAAGTAAGTTTTGCATCTCATATAAACAAAATTATTTTACAATTTATTTTTTTTAAAACAAGTTTCGCATGTTGTGCAAATGAAATAACCTAAAATGTAGACATGTGTCATGATTTCTTGAGTTTTGTCTCTTTAATACACAAAATCCTTTGAAAAAAAGTTTCCTCCCTCTAACATGCTAAAGTCTTTAAAAAAAATTTAAATAATAAGTTATGTACATGCAAGGTGCAAAACTCGTGGTGATATGACAAAAAAAAAGTCCTAAATAGGAAAATTATTTAAAAATAATATTATTTAATAGTTTACTTTTTAGAAAATATTAAAAAATAATAAAAAGCCTTATTTAAAAAAGCAAACAACGTCCATTTAATATATTTCCAACTATTTTGGGAAGAGAGAGAAATAATCGTATGAATTGTATTTAATTTCATAATAGGAGCAAATACTTCAAACTAATTAATATTAGACTTTTGTTTGTATCTTTTTGCCATCGATCTTTTTTTGAAGCGATCAATATTACCCCTGAGTTTGTACTTAGTTTTATAAACCCATTTAACTCCAATTGGTCTTTTATTTTGTGGTAAATATATCAACTTCCATGTATATATCCATAATTCTTCTTCAATGCTGATAATTTAAGGCTTCCTCAAAGGTCACAAGTTCACAATCTTCGAACAAAGCGAAGTTGATAATTGTCATGACTCAAAAATAGGCTTGTGATCGGTGCACATGCTAAGATATCGTGATTGGCGCACATGTTAAATTACCTAGACACACCACTTAACTTAGCAAACCTATTTAAAAACAAATGTACAATTAAGTAATATTATTAGATCTTTTGGCAAGTGTACCAATTGATCGTATAATCAATGATAAGTTGAATTATCGTATTCCAATGGAATTGGTAGATATTACTATAATTTCTATTATCCTAATTAAACACTTGACAAAAAATATTATTAATTGCACATATTTTCATGAGTTGAATCTCATAAAATTGAAGTTAACGAGCATGAACAAGATATGGCAATAAGAATATTAAAATGCAAAGATTAAAAATTGGAATTGGATTTCATCATTCATTCTCTTCTTTATTCTAATGACTTAATATAGAGAAATCCCTCCTATAGAAGTCAATGCATACATATTTTTCTTTGTAAGCGGTTCTTCACATACAAGTTTCTAAGAGTATTCCTTGAATAATGATTCCTTAATTATTCAACGAATCCTTCAGTATTAAAAACAAGTATCAATGAACAATCAATATATTAAGACCTATCTTTAGTATCATAATACACTAAGTGAGTTTCACTTAATCCAGAACTCAAAATTTCTTTTCAACTAATCCTTAAATATTAAAATAGAATTAAGTCTTAGAAATAGAATGAAACCAGCAACATCTATAGAAATAAAAAAACTATATATAAATCATCAAAATATATCTGAGTTGAACATTACATCCAATCCTAAAAGAAGTTTAGCTACCCATGGTAGTCATTACAACAAAAGAAAGAGATAAAAGAGATGAAAATTGATGCCCTAATACTTCTTTGCCCTAGCTTTCTCCTTTCACCTTCCTTTTCACGCTCTTTTTATCTTCTTATGTTTCTTCTTTCTTTAAAGAGTGGCTTAATGAATTTTTGCTCAAGCAAAAATCTGTTGCTTAAGCTAAAAATGGATCTTTTCTCAAGCAAGAAATTCTCGCTTGAGCGAAAATCAGGCAATGACCAATTTTTGTTTCTTGCATTATCACTCAAGCAAGAAATCATTCACTTCAGCAAAAAATGAACAAATTCACTTTCTTTCTTTCTTTCTTTTCTTCCTTCCTCCTTAAGTTTATGTAAAATAAAGAAATCAACAAAAAAGGATAAAAGAAAGACCTTCATCTCTATCTCTTAGTCAAAATAATTGTTGAAATTCAGATATTTCTAAATTAGAAAGAAAGTGAGATTAAAATTTAATTCATTGAGAGCTTTAAGTCTCTGATGAGACTGTCACTGTCTATCAAAAATTAAGAAATTAAAATGTAGTACTAGGTTAAGTTTGTAACACCCCAAGATTTTACTTCTTTCACGTATACACATAGATGTTTTATTTTATTTATTTTGATTTCTTTTTCCTTATGTTGGTTACTCCTTCTCGGCGATCATCTTAGCCTTAAGCGTGGTTGAAACCACGTATGTCAAAATCCATTATGTTAGCACCACATGAGATTTCTTATACAATATTTCATTTTACGAACTCCAAAATTCGATAATGATCTTGCATGCATGCGTCTAATTTAGTGTGCAATCTGATTTCATCCTTTCATAGAGCCTATAGTATGGTAAGTGATTATAGATTATTATGAGTAGAGGATAAGTTGTTGCTTTGGAAGGATCCCAACTGATTTGAGCAGTCATGATTTTAAAGCTCTCAAGTTATTAACCCACGTCATGGAACTAACCTCAAAATGTGTTTCCATCCATGTGTGAGTGCATAACGTAACCAAGGGACCTCAATTCTCATTCAGTTTCTGCATGGCGTGATCAAGGTGTGCTTATTTTTAATCCACACGTGTTTCCCACTCCTTAAGTTAACAGCCACCTAAGCCCCTTAAATCAAGTTTGAAAAGACCGTGCTTCTGCATTCTTTTTCCCAAGGAAGCTCACAAATGATTAGGTTAAGTAAGTGGCA